AATAATACTATGCCGAATGTTGTATTCGAATGTTTGACGAGTGGCAGCATGCCGAATGGCACTATTTTGACTAGTGACTGTTCTATATAATCTCTAATTCCTTCTAAAAACTACTACTCGGATACAGATCAAATGGATTTTGATCACAGTATCAATAAAGATTTGTATCGTTGCATATTTATTTATAAAAAAAAAAAAAAAAGATATAAAGAATAAAGAAAAAGTAAATATTTTTATTTTATTATAATATTTATTAATTTATTAATTTTAATTTTATTGCTTTTTATAATATAATAATAAATATAAATATAAATAAATCAATTAATTAAAAATTATTTTATTTTTTTTAAATGTTTATTGAATTACAAAATTTTTTCAATTTATTTAATAAAATATTATAAAAAAATATTAAATATAAAAGTATTAGATATTTATTTTCAGATATATATTTTGTTACTTTTGCAAAATTCCAAATTAAATTTATTAATAATAATAAAATATAATTGTAAAATATTTTAAAATTATTACATACTTTTAATAATCAAATAGTAATAATAACAATTTTTTAAATTGTTTTAAATATTTAAAATATCAACAAATATACTGTAGATTGTAAATTTAATAAATTCCGAATTTTTAAAATAATGTGGTATCCGTATCGATTGTTATAAAAATAGAATTTGAGTTCAATTACTCTTTTGGAGATTAAACTAAATTAAACTATGATTTTCTAACATAAACTTCTATTGGTCGATGAAGCTTTAGTAGATGCGCTTCTTCAGTTGAGGCATTGTTAAGCGCTATTGCATGTATTGAGTGTAACAATACGTAGTTAGGATAAGATGAATGAATGATCAAGCGCAACTGTTGTTACTCTTAACGTTTTACGATGAGGTTTTCCTCAAAAAATTTAAAATTTTATATTGCGTGTATTATATTGTCAACAACTCTAATTGTAACAGCCGTGAAATTACAAGATTTCAAAACTTGTGCTGATAGTTCCTTCTGCAGACGTAACAGAGATTATGCAGATAGGGTTTTAGCAAATCCTACAGTTATATCGCCATACTCTTTAATCAAAGAAACAATTGCCATCAAGGATGGTATTCTTTCAGGGGAAATTGTCAATAACGAGAATCAAATCCATTTTACTTTTGAAATAAATTTACTAGAAGTTGGCGCGGCGAGAGTTCGAATTAACGAAAAGTATCCGTTAAAGCCTCGATATGATGACGTTAAGAATTTCGCTCTCGTCAAAGAACCACAGAATACTCTAGAATATACCGAGCACCCTTTACAAGATTCTTTCACATCCGTGTCTTTCGGTAAAGAAAGAAAACAAAAGGTCATCGTTTATCACTCGCCATTTCGCGTCGAGTTTTTGATTGATGATGTACCTACAGTTGCTTTGAATGAACGCGGGTTTTTCAATTTCGAACATTTGAGGCAAAAGGAGGCCTCTCCTGGTTTAGTTGATCAAAATGGTGAGGAAAATAAATTAGATGTCGACGCAAAGGAAGATAATGAAAAGGAAAAGGGTTTATGGGAGGAAACTTTTGGTGGCAGGACAGATACCAAACCAAATGGGCCCGAATCTATCGGGCTCGACATATCTTTCCCGGGGTTTGCTCATGTATATGGTATTCCTGAACATGCATCCACCCTTTCGTTGAAAGAGACGAGGGGAGGAGATGGTGCTTACACGGAACCTTACAGACTGTATAATTTAGATGTATTTGAGTATGATCTGGACAATCCTATGGCGCTTTACGGATCGATCCCCTTTATGATGGCACACCGCCGAGGCGCGACTGCGGCTGTTCTTTGGTTAAACGCTGCTGAAACTTGGATCGATATAACTAAGAGTAAAGAGGATAAACATGGATTGTCAAAACTTTTGAACTTTGGAAAATCCACACCTACTTCAACGCACACACATTGGTTTTCGGAGTCAGGTATCATTGATGTGTTCGTTTTTCTTGGACCGAGTTCTTCAGATATCTTTCGTCAATACGGATTGCTCACAGGATTTACAGCGCTACCTCAGTATTTTGCAATTGCTTATCATCAGTGTCGTTGGAATTATCTGGATCAAAATGATGTAGTTGAAGTGGATGATGGATTTGATAAGCATGACATTCCGTACGACGTTATTTGGTTAGACATTGAACATACTGATGGTAAAAAGTATATGACTTGGGACAATATCAAATTTCCAGATCCAGTAAAGATGCAAAGCGACATTGGGCGCAAGGGACGAAGGATGGTTGCTATCGTTGACCCTCACCTCAAGCGCGACGACAATTATAAAGTGTACAAAGAAGCTAACGATCTAGATCTCTTCACCAAGGAACCTGATGGACGAGTGTATGATGCGTGGTGTTGGCCTGGAAGTTCTTCATGGCCAGACTTTACAAATCCTTTAACTCGCGAATGGTGGGGCAAGAAGCTTGCTTTCGATCAATACAAGGGTTCAACAGAATTCTTATTTGTCTGGAATGATATGAACGAACCATCTGTTTTTAACGGTCCTGAAATAACGATGCCAAAAGACCTCGTTCACCACGGCGGCTGGGAACATCGTGACCTCCACAATATCTATGGACTTTCTTATCATGCTTCAACGTCCGTCGGACTTTCCAATCGAACGAATCCACCCAGTCGTCCGTTTGTTCTTTCCCGCGCGTTCTTCGCGGGCAGTCAACGGTACGGTGCCATTTGGACTGGTGACAATTTTGCTAGATGGGATCATTTGGCCATGGCGACACCTATGTTACTCACAATCGGTATTTCGGGTTTACCATTTTCTGGCGCAGATGTTGGAGGATTCTTCGGTAATCCCGAACCAGAACTTTTGGTTAGGTGGTATCAAGCCGGTGCTTTTCAACCATTCTTCCGCGCGCACGCGCACTTAGATACAAAACGTCGCGAACCTTGGTTGGCGGGGGAACCCTACATGGGTTACATTCGCGATGCTATACGCGAAAGATATGCGCTTCTGCCTTTCTGGTATACGTTGTTTCACGAGGCGAGCACTACAGGAAAGCCAATAATTCGACCCATGTTCGTGGTTTATCCTGACGACGAATCGAGTTTTTCAATTGAGGATCAATTTTTCGTCGGAAATTCCTTGCTCGTTAAACCTATAGTAACGAAAGGACAAACATCTACTGAAGTTTATTTAGGAGAAAACGAGATATATTACGATTATTACACCTTCGAAAAAATATTAGGACCCTACAAATTTATCGATGCACCTTTGAACAAGATACCCGTATTCATACACGGAGGCTCTATCATACCGCGCCGTCAGAGAATTCGCCGTTCATCCCTTGCAATGCGATCAGATCCTTTTACTCTTTTGGTTGCATTGAATAAGCAGGTGAGTAAAATGGGAACCTAGATTTATCTTGATGTCCGACCGTCATAATTAAATAATAAAGTCGATCACAATTTATAATTTATAATTTTAGAATGAAGCCACGGGAACATTGTACTTGGATGATGGAAAGTCGTACGAGTTCGAAAAAGGCTCTTATGTTCATCGTCAATTCTTATTTTCGTCTGGGAAATTAACATCCAAATCGCTAGCGCTGTTAGAGAATGAAAACAATCCGTACGCTCAAACGGTTGGTTCTCTGCGTGTTGAGAGAATTATCGTTTTAGGACTTGACAAGAAGCCCAAGAAAATACTGGCTTATCATAATTCCGAACCATCTAAGGCGAAAACATTACAATTCAAGTTTGGCGGAATAGGAACAGTGATTGGCACGTCTATTCCTTCGAAGGATGCACTTTTGATCAAAGATCCAAATTTGCTAATCACCAAAGATTGGACTATAGAGTTTTCAAATTGATTAACCATAAATAAAGATTTTGTAATATTTAATTTCAATTGGTTGCAGTATGTAAATTGAAAATGTCTAAAATGTTGTGCTTGGTATAAAATTATACATGTTTTTTTATATATTCTAACGTGACTCAAGCTGAAACCACAGTATTAGAACTAATTTTTTTTTCATGTTTATGTAATTTTATTCTAATGAGGAGTTGTCAGAAAAGACCAAGCTTGTCCCATCAGTTCTATATCGTTCCTAGCTATGCAAGAGATGACCGCGATTGGGTCACCTTCCTTGAGGGGTGCAGCAAGGCATTCACCGGTTCGACCATATGGTTGTATAATAAATGAATCCTGATGATATTTTGTATGGAATCGTTGGATGGGTGTTATCTTTCAAATTCAGATCAATCGAAAGGATCGAATGTCCTACCTCATAATTTGACTCCCCGTAGCACCACTCGGTGTTTCGAGCATATTGCGTTGAGTTCATCAACAGCGTATTATCTTCCTCGTTCCACGCTAAACTTTTTAATACCTTGATTAAGTTTTGGATCCCGACATTTGAGAAAAAAAAAGAGAAAAAAACAACGTACACAGTATTTCCCGGTCCATATATTTTTAATGGTCTTTTACATTTATCAAAACTCTGCTGCAAGAATCCTAGTGAAAAACTAATCTGGGAGGGTTTTTGATTGCATTCTACTAAATGTAAAGGATTGGTTGATGCATCCAGGCATTTCCAATGGTATTCTATAAAGAACGTGAGCGAAAGAGAAATAGGTTATGCTTTGTCGCCTGGTAAAGAACATTGGGCATTCCATCATTTCCTTACTATTCTCAAGTGTATTAGCCGGGAGGTTTGGAGTTTCGGGCCCGCCTCCGTGAGAACTGCATTCTCGGAACATGCAAATACAAAGAACCACCATCAAGGCGATTAGGTATTTGTTGAGAGGCATTTCTTGAACAAAAAACTACAATGATTACCAAATTTAGAACAATTCTACTCAAATCATCAAATCACTTCTACCAGAACGGTGTTACGTACACACACATATTTTAATAACCACATTAAAACAACCCTAAGCAAAATATTGCACTTATTTTCTTTTGTTGAACCTCTGAAGCAATTTTTGTTTCTTTTTTCCTTTCATCTTGACCAAACGCTAACTTCACAAGAGCTTGCCGACTTTTTAATGAGTGCACCAAACAGCGGTAACTCAAAGAGTTCATTACCAGCTTTGCATGGTGTTAAGATCAAAGCTAGAAAGGTTCGCTGTCCGTGTGTTTAATTCTCATCTCAAAAATCGGTATAAACTACTTTGATGTTAATTTTTATCTTCCATACATCTTCAAGAGCCAACAAAAAGCTCAAGCAAAATACGAACCAACTGGTAAGTGACAACTTCCTCAATATCATGGTACGAATAGGAGCATGGGCAGTGACTCATTAACTATCTTGAATAGTTTTTAGGGAGGGTATTTTAAAAGCACTTTCAAACGCTCAACCTGGCAACTTTGACGAGATCTCTCAGCAATTGGATCTCTCTGGAAATACGCTTGACTATAAAAAATACGGCGAAACTTTATTTGAAATACTTCTTACCGGTGGTGTATTAGGTTAGTGCAATAGATTTTTATTGGTGATCGATCGGATCTCACTGGTTCAGATTTATTAATTAAATTTTATTGAAATTTGCCAGTACCCGGAGGTACTATTCTTGACGATGGGGCACAACGCAGTCCTTTTTCTATTTTCTCGGCAGAGGATAATAGCGAAAGTATTAAAAAACATGTTGATGTTTTCAATAAGCTAATCCGGCGTTATAAGTATTTGCAACTTAGCTTTGAAGACACCATCAAGAATTTACTACAATACATCAACAAATGGAGTCCCGAGGAAAATAACAAATTAGCCATGGCGATTGGCTTTTTTTCTTCCGGTCAGATGACCAACATTAACGTTTTGACGGTTTTGTTCAAGGAACATCTCGTCAAAGAAGGTGCATATATATATATTTGTTTATTTATTTAGTGAAATTGATTTTCTTCCGGTAGCAAGTCAACAGAACAATTGATAGCTTTTTTTGCATTGACCCTCCTTGTCATTTCTTTCCAATGAAAAGGCCTCTCACTCCAATTTGTGACAGCCGTTTTTAAGGCTTACCTCAGTGAACAGAGTATTGACCACTTGGGTAGCTCTCTTAAAAAGGCGGGTATGGACAACAAGCTCATGGAATTTTTCCCCCCGAACAAACGCGATGAAGAATACTTTGCTCGTTATTTCGAAGCAGAGGACATGAAACAACTTGTGGATTATCACAATCAGAAGCAGAGGAATTCGATGAGAGACCAAACCATCGAGCGTGTCAAAAAGATGTTGCAAGCTGAGAGTACTTCGGCTGAGGTAATTCGTCGTTTATCAGACATCTTTTTTTATCTCGCCATTAATCTCTATGCTACCGGTGAACAAAAAATTTTTTTAGGTTATCGTCTATCTCAAACATCAGATGAAGGAGGGTCGCTGGCAAGAGACTGGTTTTGTCCAAATTGTCTGGGACGCGGTGATGCAAGCCGTGGACTGGGGCTCTCGGGCAGAACAAATTGAAACCCAGGTTTTGCGTCAAGTCAAAGTGAGGATTGCGTTTATATCTGCTTAATTGATTTACACATATATATATGATATTAAAAAATATTTACAGCTGCCTTGCTAATTTGTAGCAATGTTCCAACATTCTCTCAGTATTCTCAACCAGTCCCAAAACGGAACTTGCCCTTTTACAAAAAGTTCAAGTTTATTGTTATGATGATACGAAATTGCTAAAACACTTTCGTCAAATAGTTCAAATCTTGTATGACGAAGATGTCGTCTCGGAGAGTGCTATTTTGTATTGGTCCGAGAAAGGTGCCAGCAATCAAGGCAAGACTATATTCTTGAAACAGATGGAGCCATTCATCCAGTGGCTTAAGACAGTCGATAGTGAAAGTGAAGAAGAATGAACGAAGAACAATTTGGTCATAGTTTTTTTTTTTTTTGGGTGTATCAAGTGTCACAGTGCATTAGTGATTGAGCACAACTTTCGTTTTTTTTTTTTTTTTTGTACTACAATAACATTTAATCTTCGATAATACGTTGTACAACTTTTAGATGGATCATAGATTAACTCATTTTGTTCGCTTCTAACGTTAAGAGGAAAATACGATTCATTTTGTATTTCTAATTTCGATTCTTTCGTCTATCTATCTACATATCATATACACACCTAAAACCGTTGTCCCGTTGTTCTTTCGGAACAATACTAAAATCTGTCGATCCACGGTCACCATTCTTTTTTTAACTAGTTGACCTTTTCTGACATTCAATGGCACTGTTCTTTTTTTTTTGTGTAGGACAATAAATGGATAATATTGAGCAAATCACTCATATAATAAACGATAGTATTCACATGAGGAGTCGAAATCCAGACATGGAAATTTCCTTAAATAAAATCATTTTAAAGGGAAATGGTTGATAGTTATTTTCTGCTTACCCCATATTAGAATTTTTAGCGACCCAACGATTGAATTATCGAGAGTTAAGGTGATCTCATGAACCAAGCACATGTTGTAAAAAAAAATTTGTGCCAAAAAAACCGGAGTGGCAAGTAGTACAAAAAAATTGCGCTCTGATGCTGCTGATGCTAATACCGAAGTTTCCCCAAAAATTGGATTCGAAAAAAAAAATATAAGAAAGGTAAATGGATAGCGTTAAAAAAAATTTGTTCAGTCGCCATTCTAAATTATGGTACCTCCTAACGTCGAACTTACTTGTCGCCCAACAGCCGGAGCGAAAAAGGCTGTCGGCGATGTCACCACATTTGAGCGTGGTTACATACCTCCTAACTTTACCATTAAAGAGATTCGTGAAGCAATTCCCGCCCATTGTTTTGAGAGAAGTGCGTTAAAATCGGCAAGCTATGTGGCAAGAGACCTTGCCGTAATTGCGGCGCTCGCCTATGCAGCAACTTTCATAGACGTCTATCTACCTCCGGTGTGGCGTTATGTTGCGTGGCCTCTGTATTGGTTCTTTTGCGGTGCTTTTGCTACCGGTGTATGGGTATTGGCACATGAATGTGGCCATCAGGCATTTTCACGTTCCACGACTCTTAATAATACCGTTGGTTTCATACTGCACACGGCTTTGTTGGTTCCATATCACTCCTGGAGGATCACTCATTCCAAGCATCATAAATTTACTGGTCACGTGAGCAAAGATCAAGTATTTGTGCCAAAGACACGATCGAGGGTTGGTTTATCGCCAAAAGACGCGGTCCATCACTCGGTATTTGAAGATGCACCAATCGTCACGCTCTTGAACCTGATTGGACAACAGTTATTTGGGTTCCCGTTATATCTGTCCTTTAACATGTCGGGTCAATCATATGATGATCGTTGGGCGAATCATTTTAATCCGTCGGCTCCGATGTTTGATCGTAGAGATTTTTATGACGTCATAATCTCAGACATCGGAATAATTATTGCCCTGTCCACCATCTTCTATTTCTCTTACGTCTACTCGTTTCTGACTGTAGCAAAATACTATCTGATACCTTATCTTGTGGTAAATCATTGGCTCGTCCTAATCACCTATCTTCAGCACACCGATCCTAAACTGCCTCATTATCGTGAAGGACAATGGAATTTTGTACGTGGAGCGGCCACCACAGGTTAGTTTCTTCTACGTCAAAGGAAGATTGCAAACTTTTATTAAAATCGTTTTTTTTTCGTGAAATTGCAGTTGATCGTCATTTAGGTTTTCTCGACGCCATCTTCCATAGAATCACCTCCACGCACGTGGCACACCATTATTTCTGCATGATGCCTCATTACCATGCCGAAGAGGCAACCAAACATCTTGCCAAAGTTCTCGGTTCATATTACATTTTTGACGACACTCCTATTTTCAAAGCTTTGTGGAATAGTCACAACGAGTGTAAATACATAGAGGACGAGGGTGAGGTGGTGTTTTACAAAAAGAACTAAAAAAAAATACAGTATATATACACATGTAACCAAAAATCTTCAATACGTAATTATGCATTTGTCAAATCACATGACCAAAAACAATAAAATAATCCCAATAAATTTTATGCGCGTCGACTTGTCAAATCATAATAAAAATGCCCGTGCGAGAGAACCCCATTGCGGCATTATCGGTGGCGGTTCCACAAATTTTCCAGGAATGTCAAAAAGCCACGACAAACCATCGAAAAAATGCGGTGGCATTACGAAAGTTGCAAATAAAATGCTCAAGATATACGCCTTTAAGCTCTGACGCGTCAAATGAAGATTTTGCGGATGGAGAGTCCGCATTTAATAAGGAATTTGTGCGAAATCTGAACAAAGTGCTTTCAATCAAAAAGGGACAAACAAACGCCGAACGTGTTCTTAAATTCGTGGTGTCGTTTGTGGCATTTAGCTGTGAAAAAGGTGATTTGGTTTATGCGAAGGAAGTTTGTTTCAACTCTTCTGACCGTGTCCACTTGTCATAACACAATTCGTAAAACAAAGATAATGAAAAGAACGATGATGGCTCGGCCGATGACGACGATATCGAGGAGACATTGTCTTTGCGGTTCATCGAATTCCTAATCAAACATTTGCTGAAAGGCACCGAGGCTAAAGATAAAAACGTGAGGTTACGAGTTTGTCAACTATTGGCTCATCTGGTGTCATTCCTTAGAGCCATTGAGTGAGTGGAATGTGGTAAATTCTCGTGCTTCACATTTTGTTCGCGAAACAAGAATAACGTGTTTTCGTTGTTAACCATAATTATTCAGCGGTGATCTGTACGAACATTTAAAGGACGAATTGACCAAACGTCTACTTGACAAGGAGGTCGGAGTGCGAGTCAAAGCCGTTATCGCGTATTCCAAATTACAAGTAAGCATTATTAGAGGTTAGATGGTTGTGACTTGTCAGAGCTGCCAAGTTTGCTATTTTTTTTAACTTGAACTTCCTTTCTAAAGTGTGATTCTGAAAATGGAAGAGAATGCGTTAGACAATTGCTCGGAATGTTGAATAACGACCCCAGCGCGTAATTACGAATAACCTATTCATCTTTCAGAGCAATTCGCATTTATTTTTTTAACATTATATATATATATATATATATACTTGACAGTGAAGTTCGACGCGCTGTGCTATATAATATCGAATATAATGAAGAGACTTTGCCTCATATATTGAAACGCGCACGAGACATAGACGCGAATATTCGTTGTGGCGTGTTCACAAAGTTGACAGAGGAAATTCGAGACTTTCGAATATTATCTATCGAAGATCGCGAAAAACTGTTAAATTGGGGCCTCACTGACAGGTCTGCATGACTACTTTGTATTAATAGAAACATCAAATCTTGTTATTTGCACTTGTTGCTATTGATCCTGGGTTTTAAACAGGGATCCTCATGTCAAGAAGGCATGTTCGAAAATGCTTGCGACGAGTTGGCTCCAACACGCGAACGATAACCTTTTGGAAGTATGTTTCAATCAACTTGACAATTTCTAGTCATTGAGGATAATTGATTTATTAATCAACCTAAAAAAATCATGCAGTTACTTGAACGTCTGGATGTCGTGGGAAGCAGCATTGCTCAAGAAGTACTCTTATCAATATTTCGAGCACGACCGGATATAACGCAAGTACTCAGCTTTGACGGTAATCGGTTTAGAGACAAGCATTGAAATATCTTGAAATGCTGTTCACTGCATCGATCTCATCTTCAAATTTTAACCGATTCAGATACCCTGTGGGAGAATTTGACGGCTGAAAGTGCCTTGCTTATGCGAGTATTCTTTGAATATCATCATAAAGATGTATGAACTTTGCTTGCGACATTGTTTTGCGGATTGAAAATTCGACCAATGATCCTCATGTATATCAATTATTCTAGGATAACGGAAGGCTTGACGAAATGATGCCAGAAGTCACCCGGCTCGCTTTCTACATTCAAAAATACAATCACTACATCTTTCAAACTCAGGAAGAAGAAGAACAAGTTAACTACGTGTTTATCGTTAGCCAATTGTTGTCGATAGCTAAACTAATGGATTACGGCGATGAAGTTGGTCGACGAAAAATGCATTCGCTATTACGTATGAATTGCTTCATCCCCTGGCTGTTTATATTACTTGCACTCATTCAAGTTCGCAAAAAAAAAAAACTGTTCTCACTTTTTCAGGTGAAATGCTCATGTTGCCTCAAATCGAAGAAAGTCACATTGAGAGTATCATGGAGGTGATGAAAAGAATTTCTATTAACGAGCGAGATTTTACACGGTTCGAGCATTCATTTTTTGTTACATTCTTTGCTTGACATATGACCAATCCTAATTAATTGATAGTGGATTGTCTAACATTTTAGTTCCATGATTGAGATTATCTCCGATATTCGTGAAGGAATTGAGGATGAGGATGCCTTTTCACGACGTGCGATTCAAGTAGGTCTTCATTATTCGAGAGGCTCTGCGTAGAAATCAGATTTCATTAAATGACTTTCTAATATTGTAAAATTCTGTTAGGATGACCAAGATCTTACGACAAACATGTCCCATCTTAGCATTAACATGTCTTCCATGAGATTATCCATGAGGAATTCTGACCAAAGAAGAGGTGAAGGGAGATTGTCCACAATGACGGCGAGCACTGACAACGACGAGCAGGAAGACAAGGAATTGATGTCCGTAATGCTTAATTTGAAGAGTTTACACATAGTACGCCGAATGCTTGAAAAAAACTCGGAGGTAAGGGACACTTCACAGAGCTTTAAATATCTTCATTTTACATTTCAGTTCAACTAGAGTGATCACATAGGAATTACGACATAATCCGTCGATGCATGGTCTTTTGAGTGAAATTATCATACCCAACGTGCAAAGTCATGAGCCGACCTTGCGAGAATTTGGTGTGCACTGTCTCGGTCTGTGTTGTATACTTGACCAGGTACTAGTTATAATTCCATAATTTGTCCGGGATGCCAGATGTCATGACGAAACTTATTTTTCTCGAAAAATCAAAGCCTTTAGCAATAGAGAATTTTAATCTGTTTATGCATTGTGTGAAGCACGGATTTGATGAATTACAGACAAAGTCCTTGATGGTAATATTAACGATGGATACCAGGTTTTGAATTTCGCGCAATAAAAATCAACCTAAAATTGATTAAACACTCTAGATCATCTTTGACGTCCTCATGGCGTACGGCTACTCAACGATAGTCTCAAAGACACGACAGGTGAGGTTATCAAGCGATTTCGTGTCCGAATATATTTCACGCTCGTTTCTCAAGCAAGAAGTAATCGTTGAATTTTAGGGTGGCGAAATACTCGGTCTCCTGAATGATTGCCTAAAACACGAAAATGAGCAAATTCAAGCAACTGCCGTTGTGGGAATATCGAAACTTATGCTTTCGAAGATGTTGCGTGACAAAAATGTGTGTAAACCGTAATGTACGCCTAACATCATTCAAGTTCTTGTGTTTGTATATGACCATAACGATTTGTCCTATCAGGTTTTAAAGGAACTCTTGATGTTGTATTTTGACATCAACACCGCTTCCAATCTTCGCTTGAGACAATGTCTGAGCTATTTCTTTCCCGCCTTTTGTCATTCTTCGTATGAGAATCAGTCCATCATGCAAGAGGTATTTTTTGACTTTGCATGTGATAGCCTCACGCAAAAACCAGTATTGGTGGTGGTAAAGGTTTAATCATCAATCACCGTTTTTATTTTAGATATTCCTTTCTACCCTCATCAGTCTGGTGAACAGAAACAAGAATCTTGAGAAGAGCGATGAGACCGTGACATCTTTTCAAATAGCACAGCAATTAGTCGAGTGGACTGACCCGACCAAAGTTATGTAGGTTAACTGACTGACTGACCATATTTTAATTTCTTTCATTGATTTCAGCTCACTGAAAATGTCTTTCAACTATCAGAAAATTAGATCAATCAGAAGAAATCGATGTTGATATGGGATCGCATGCGAACATCGCAATTGAGGTCCTCAAACATCTTTTCACCGAGACCAACAGTAAGTTCGCGCATAGATACTTGTCAAAAGTCTCATGTGTTGTATTAAAATCATTTATGCATATATATATATACTCTTAAAAAAATTTCCTAGAGGATATAAGGAAGATCCTTTGCCAAACCCTTAATAAATTCCGTATAGATGAGTCCGTAGGAATTTTAAGGATTAAAAAATTAACGTGCCTCACTGGAAATTTAAAATCCGTAAGTACTTTTGAGTCAATTAATCTTTTATTTTATTTTGATATTAACTGCGTTGACACGCGCGCTGCCCTTCCAAATAGAGGAGGCCGTTACCGGATTACGCATCTAAAGTCGCGGTGAATCGATTTGAGAACAATTTACTTCGTTATTTCGATGATGCTTTGGATTCTTTGGACGACAACGAACTTGAACAATTAAGGGATATTACCGAGTTCGTTGAAAATCTCGGAGGTCTGTTTACTTTTCTTTTCTTTTGTTTTAAAATAATAATTTTTATTGCGAAAATAAATTTTAATTTGCGCATCAATTTCAACAGAAATTGCTCCAACGCTCAGGCCGTCTCGATCAAGGTATTATTTTGTAATCGAATCTTTTCCTCGTATTTTTGAGTTTAGAATTTACAAGTTGTCTTAAAATCGCCCAGGCAATCAAAAGTTAATGCCTTAGCGAATATTCAGAGAGATCAGAGGGTACTCGAAGAAACATTGGATTCCGACTCTGATATATAAAAATTTGTCAACGAACGGTGATTTTATTTGAAGGAACCGAAAGTTCGCCATCGACACTCTCTCTAAAATGAGGTTGATGGCTTAGATAGTTACCTGCATCCTTAGAATCTGTAAATAAAATCATTTGGATGAACATGCGTGCATGCATTTTTCGCTTATTTGAAAATTACGTTTCAGTTACCCCGTCCGCGTAAAAGTCCATCATTTTTTGGACTGTTTATTCCGAAGACTTTTTCTGGGTGGTGGTGGTGTTGGTGGTGGTCCGAGTTCTACTGAATCGTCTGATTCATTTGGTTCTTCGGTTTCATTTATCCGATCATTATTCAAATCATCTGTGGACTCCGTTTTTCCTTTAATTCCTCTTGAATTCTTATTATAAATCTTGGTTTTCATAGCGGATTCAAATTTTTCATAGTATCTTTTCACTGAATAGTCGATATTCTTTCTCGACGACTTCCTCTTCGGAAATCTTCGATGGGATGATCCTGAGTGTAAATCTGGTGATACTTTTTTAGATGCACGCTTTTCGGAAGTCGTCACTTCGACACGATCATTAAATGCACTATCAAACTTTTCATAATATAATTTCTCCGAATAATTATGTTCGTGCTCGATAGTTGTGCTACGCACTGGATATTTTCTACGAACTCTCTTTCTAGGTCGATAATCGATCTCTTCGGTAAATTCCGAATCATCCTAATTCATCATGCATTTAACAAACCATGATAGAAAACACGCGAAATGACTAATGCAAAATAAGAAAATGCTGCCACCTCAGAATCCTCATACTCATCTGTATCTTCGTTCTCACCCCGATTTTCGCCCACCTCCTCATTTTCATCCTCGTTCTCACTCCCACTTTCGCCCACCTCATTTTCATCCTCGTCCAAGAAAATAACGTTTTTCTTAACCGATTTTCCTAGTTTGCCTACAGGTTCGGGATTTTTCGCGTGATGAATAGAAACTTCCACTGCCTCTTTAGTCGGTGTATGCTCGCTACCGTCATTGGCTTTGTATATCGGAGTTTTGTTTTTATGTTTGAGTTTTTTGGTCACCCTTCTTGGCATTTTTTTTGAAATGGTTGATATGTGTGCGACGTTTAAGAAATTTTGTCCGAGATACGCATATATGCTAGCCAATCACATGATGCACCATTGATTCTTAAATTGGGATGATATTTCTAAGAGTTAGTTTAACAAATTTCTATCTACAAGATTCCGCAAATATAATCATATTAGATATCCGTGCTACAAGCAAAAAATTATTTCTTCGTTACAACGGCATCTCAATTTTTAAAATAGATTATTTTATATTTAGACGAAAATATGTTAATATTACAAAATAAAAACTACAATGTAATAGTTTTAAGCATTAAAACTATTATTTTAATCATGTGAATTAATTATCTGGTATAAGATCCTTAAATTGATTGATAACGCGAATGAACTACTGATTTTGGTAATCAAGTTCTTGAGCCCTAACCAACGGCGTGCTTCATGTTTACGAAAACGTTTTTTTCCAGTTCTCTTAGGACGATCTGTCGAAGTTCACATATTTTTGATAAGACCTTCACTAACTTCAAGATAGCTAATCAAATAAAGTACCGATCCCCTTTATCGTCGTTAGCACGCCCAAAAATGACCAACACTTCTTCAGGTTATGACCTATTTCCGGCTAAACCGACTGAACCTCTTTTGCCATTCAGCAATAATGAAAGTGCGAGCTCTACTTCTGCAAGACAATATAGCACAGAAACTTCGAAAGCTAAAGAATTAGAACGTTGGAGCTGGCCGTGGTGGAAAGAGTGGGCAATTATTTTTATTGTTTTTGGTATTACTGGTTCAACTACTGTCAGGATCGTCCGACCCATAGTAACTAATGTTTTCGGAATTGAAGGTAATAAAATAATAATGGTTCTATTATAGTTCATTGCATGAATACTGATGAGATATGCTTTCACTTATTTCAGGTAGCTTCAGAGAAGGTCCTTGGTCGTATAGGCTTACCTATCTTAGTATAACTCTTCCGCTATATTCTATCATCCTTTTCTGTGTGGGAACATTATTTCGAAGGCAACAATA